CCATCAGTGGGTTCTCTTAAATTTGAAAAGAAAGTACTTTTGTTTTGCTGAAGAAATAAATAGAAGACTGGGAATGCAAACAGAAGAGGTTGGTGCACCTGGGAAGAAGAAAGGGAAGGAGGGAGGAAGGGAGGGAGGAAGGAAGGAAGGAAGGAAGGAAGGAAGAAAGAAAGAAAGAAAGAAAGAAAGAAAGAAAGAAAGAAAGAAAGAAAGAAAGAAAGAAAAGAAAGAAAGGAGAAAATGTAGACCTCAGTTCATGGAGAGAGCGTCCACGTAGCCTCTCCCTGGGGGTGGTAGTGACAGGTCCCAGTCCATTCATAGCTTGCATCATGCAGTTTGCCCTAGCCACCCACATGGCTTATTTAATAAGATAGATTCTATTTTTAAACAAAAGTATTTACAAAAACAGACTATGTGGGTCAAGAATTTTCCTCTTTTGCTTTCTGAGATACTTAAGATAATACCTAGTAGGGACTAAAGGAATGTTTATTGAATTAATAAATTTTGTTATCACCCATGGAGAAGTATATTTTTATAAGATGTTATAAATACACAACTGTTATGAACACAAATATTTATGATCTAATCCCTGGGTAGAGTTCACTTGCCCACCACAGATGTATTTCCACTCACCATGCTCTGTCATGCTACCTAGCAATCATAACTGCAAAGACCAGCTCATCACTTTCTTATTATTCTTCTTACGCACTAGACACACACCTCTGCTCCCTGGTGGTTTGATCCATCAATGTATCCTTGGCACATTGCACCACACAGTGAATATCTGTAAAAGTAGGAATAGCTTACCTTATTTAACCTTCAGCAGCAACCTCATCATGGAAATTGTTGTATCATTTTAAAATATCTCACTGTGTTGTGTAGTATTCTCTGCTCCAATCATGGCTACCTCATCTGCCAATTTAAGACAGACTGATTAAGAAAAAAAGCATTTCTTTTCTCAGTATTATCGAAGTGCACTCTAAGCAAGGGGGCAGTAAAGAAACCACCAGAACGGGTGCTTCATGATATGGGGGGAGATTGTTATTGTGGGCAAGAGAAGGAGTGAGAACAGCTAGGACATCTAGAATAGTGCAGAACAGAGAGAAAAAGAAGCAGACTAGACATGGCCAGGGCTGAGGAAGCTGGATATGGAAAAATCATGCAAGTTATAAAGAGAATGAGTAGCTGTGGAGAGGGGAGCAGCTGGAGCAGCCTAGGAGTTTAGGATGGGGATGGTGAGAAGGGCCAGGACAAGTTGTGGAACAAGTCCAGATGAAAAGTGGCTGTGGTGGTTTGAATGTAATTGGCCCCCATAAGCTGATAGGGAATGGTACCATTAGGAGGTGTGGCCTTGTTGGAATGGGTATGGCCTTGTTGGAGGAAATGTGTTACTCTGGAGGCTGACTTTGAGGCATGAGATATGCTCAAGCCATGCCCAGTGTCTCATACCACTTCCTGCTGCCTACAGGTCAGGATGTAGGACTCTCAGTTCCTTCTCCAGCACCATGTCTGCTGGCACACTAACATGACTGCACCATGATGATAACGGATTAAACCTCTTGTGATGATTTGAAGAAAAGTGACTCCCTGATGTGGGAAGTCCTTCCGTGTGTATGTTGTCCTACTGGTTGATTAATAAAGCACTGTTGTCCAATAGGGAAGCAAGATAGGTGGGACTGGGAGTCAAAGAGGATTCTGGGAAATGTAGTCAAGAGTAGAGGGTTGCCATATGATCTCCTAGGAGGAAAGGATGTATCAGGAGAGCGTCCTCGGAAAGATAAGTCCTTATAAAAATATATATTAGTAATTATGAGTCAATAATTAAGTCAGAGCTAGCCAATGAGAAACAATACCAAATGGCCAACAGCTTCATAATTAGTATAGTGTCTTGTGTGTTATTTGGGGGCTAAAGTGGCAACAGGACCCAGGCGCTGAAGGGAAGAATGCACTTTACAACCCCCTAAAAGGGAGTGGTACTATTAGGAGGCGTGTCCTTCTAATAGGAGGAAGTGTGTCACTGTGGGGGTGAGCGCTGAAGTATCCTATACTCAAACTTCACCCAGTAGGGCAGACCACTTCCTGTTGCCTATGGGTCACGATGTAAGGACTCTCAGCTCCAGCACTATTTCTGCCTGCATGCTGCCTTGCTTCCTGCCATGTATGCAAATGTAAGCTGCTCTAATTAAATGTTCTTCCTTTATAAGAGTTGCTATGTCACAGTGTCTCTTCACAGCAATAGAAACCCCCAGATAGGGACTGAAAAGGCCTGGAGGCCAGTGTGGGCTTTGATATGCTAAAAGGCACAACAGGTATGTGCCAGTAGAGAGCCTCGTGTTCCTTGTTCCTTCTACCAGAGGCAAGGGAAATGACCCCTTTTGGTGGCAAGGAATGCTGGCTTTTCTCTAACCACCAGAAAACCTTCTGTAATCCAGCTTGGACTGACTCGGTTTTGTCCTTTGGACCTGACATACATTATCTGTGCTCTGGCTTGAGCGTTGGTGTCCTCCCAGATTCACGTGTTAAATTCTTATCTCCAGAGCAACAGTGTTAAGAACTGCAGTCATCTTACTGTCCCCATGTTTTAATAAATGGATATGAGCTCATCAAATTGCTCCCTAAATGTCCATGCTTGCAGACTAGTGCTGCTCCTGGTTTGGTGCGAGAGGCTTCTGTGGGCAGTGACCGGTGATTGCTACAGAGACTCATAGCTGGACAGAGGGCTGAGAAAAGTGACTATTGAATTCTCAGTCATAGCTGGGACATCTACACCACCCCCTCCAGTTCTCAGGGAACATCTTGGAAGAGGGTTCAGAAAGTACGGAAGAGGGAGTGGTGGAGCGCTGTGAAATGATGCCTTTCCAGCTTGACATGGCTCTTGCACTCTTGAACTTTCAGCTGTGATCCCTTGCACAAGATTGGGCCTATTAACATTCTGTCATGGACTAGGGAGAGGCTTCTAAGGGCCCTGTGACTCCCTGAAGATTTATGGGCAGTTAATGATTGCTTAAGGAGGGAAGGCCATTGTCTTCAATGGTGTAGCCACTGGTAACTTACCCATACATGTACAAATAACCCTTCATCTATGCTCCTATAAATAAGCATAGTGAGGCTCAGTGGAAAGAAGAGTCCTACCTCAGAACCCGAGATGACTGCTGATGTCCAGCCAATGTGTCTGAATTTGTACAAAGGACTTTCCCTTAAGTTCAACCAGTCACGTGGTTGCATTCAACCAACAGAGAGGCAGAGAAGTATAGTAGACTTTTTTTTTTACATTTATTTATTTTGTGTCACAAGACATTTTGTGGTAGTTGGTTCTCCTCTTCCAATGATGTGGTTCCCAGTACTGGACTATGGTTGTCAAGTGGTGACAGGTGCCATTATCCACTGAGTCATCTTACTAGTTCCCTATGTTAGATATGTTAAAGATAAAGAAGGGGGTCTATCTGGTAGTTTGTGCCACAGCCAATTCCTGAAAGTCCTTTTTAATCAAGCATTAGCACAGCTTTCCAAAATTCTGTTACCTACCCACAGTTCTGAAATCTGTCTGCTTAAGCTCTCCTCGGTATTGTTCATGAGAACATGGAGCTTGTCGCTGCTTCCCGTGTTCATTCCTACCCCTGTAATGACTTGACTTGAGAGTGTCCACAGAACTTTTGTCTGGAAGCACATGACCTTGTACAGATATAAATGAGGTACAGAGAGATCAAGTCACTTACCCCAAGTCACTCAGCCAGGAAGGGGTGGAGTCAGGGCCTAATCCCAAGCTCAGGCTCTTAGTATGTTGAAGGGATGACTAGAATAGAAGGGTGGTCTTAGGATTCAAAGATCTGCTGACATCCATCGTAAGACCTATGCCTGCCACTCCACCCCGACGTGACTCTTTCTTGGGATGGGATATCCTTGACGCTGGCCACTGCAGGCCATGGACAGATTCATTAGCAGCTTAGCCATCAATCCCTGTCTCTCTTTCCATTTAATAACCAAATCCTACTTTGACTATGACTAAAAAGAATCCAGGCACGGTGATGCATCTTTAATTCCAGCCTTGGGAGGCAGAGGAAGGATAAAGAGCAAACTCCTGGACAGCCTGGGCTACACAGAGAAACCTTCCTCAAAAAATCTGGAAAAGAAACAGAGGTGGGAAGGTAGACAGATGAAATTACCAGGAGGCTCTACTTATCCCACGGTGGCAGAATGGAGTGACTCTGAGCCAAGGCAGCAGCCACAGCATCCGGCTCGATCCCCCACTCACATACTGTGTTCAGCCCAGTCTAGGGTTTGATAATCTTTCCGCTTATGGTCAGTGTTTACAAACTGGAACCTGTTGCAGAGTCTGGATTCGGGGCTGCTCTGCGAGCATGTGAGGGGGTCTGGGAATCATGGGTTGGCCTTCACATGGGCTCAGGCTGTCAAGTCAAGTGCAGCATGTTCTGTCTGGATCAGCACAGTTTCTTCTTTGCCGCTATTGGAACACCTGCGGCCACACTAGTTTTCCTTGCTGGCCTGCCTCAAATGACAATAATGAGACAGAGTGCACTTGTGTCTGATACTGTGCCCCACAGTGGAAGAGCTACTGATATTCTCCCCAGGAAACTGAGGACCGCATTAATAGCTGGTGCTGGGTTACAGTACCTGGCATTTTAGCTCCCAAATCTGCTTCCAAGCCCTATATATAACCAATGCCTCTCTTTGCAGGCCTTGAAGTATGTGTGGCCCTGCTTTGAAAGGACAAAGAGCAGATAGGGGACCTGCCTTCATGCCTTCTGTGACCCAAGGCCCATACTGAAAACCCCAGCCGCAAAGCTCCTTTCCTAGGCAAAGAGCAGGCCAGCGGGGGGAAAACTGTTTTTTACTTCTTGCTCTGAGAGCAGGGTACTGAAAGGACCAAGTGAGACTCGGCAGGTCTTTGGGGACTTCATCAGCAGGTCTTTGGGGACTTCAGAACCAGCTGCTGGGAACAGACAAGCTTATCTCACTCAGAAAAAAACAAGAGAATTGAATTCTGTTCAGCCTGCATTTAATTCTCACTTGAAACATTAGCCCACAAACAAAAGCAAACCGTTTGGACTCCTGGCTGTCTTTGGAGAGGCAATGGGTCTGGGTCACAAACAGGAACAGAGACACACAACATCTTCATGTCACATCCACTGTGGTCACCAGGCTACCGGAGCCCGCTGGGCTACCCAGTTCGTAGTATGACAAATGGATCCTGTTGCACCAAGAGAAATTAATTTTGTCAGGTTATTTTGCTGAATAGCCTCCAGAAATTAAGCCATTTTAGTATTCTGGTGCTCAAGGGAGAGTCGCGCTTGGAAACCTCCATGGTTCAGAGGCTGAAAGAGTTATGGCTGCTGTGGGTATGTGGCATGGTACCTGAGAGCTATAAATTGAAGATGCTCATTGAACATATCCACTTACATGTGCCTAGAGCTGTGGATGTCACAGTGGGCACCTAAGGTGGTTTTGAGATTCTACCACAGTGCTAGAGAGTAGGCTTTAAAAGGCAGAAGCTGGTGCCCTCCGCTCCCAACTGGGACCTGTGGTCAGAGTGAGTTACCAAGTCAGACTCTGGCCAAATGACTATGAAGAAGTTAATCTATGAGCCCATGGTCACTCCTGCTCCACAGAGCATTCCCCGTAAGCGCTGGCTCTTGCTCTTGACTATGAAGAAGTTAATCTATGAGCCCATGGTCACTCCTGCTCCACAGAGCATTCCCCATAAGCGCTGGCTCTTGCTCTTGCCCCCATTGCCATTCTCTTGTGTAAATCTCTCCCATCTGAGAATGCCAACCAGGAAACAGCACTGAGACGTGGGGAAGTTGGAAGGCAAAGCCCTGCCTTCATGAGAAGAGGGAGGGTATCATGATAGTGCACTATTGCTGTAGAAGCCCAGGTTCCAATAGAAAGAAATAGCCTTTTAACATCTCCAGTGAAGCAGGGCATGACGGTATGCACTCTTAAACCCAGCACTCGGGAGACAGGAGTAGGCGGATCTCTGAGTTCGAGGCCAACCTAGTTTACTAATGATTTCCAAGAGAGGCAGGACTACACAGAGAAACTTTTGTCTCTAAAAAACAAAAACAGAGCCGGGCGTTGGTGGCGCACGCCTTTAATCCCAGCACTTGGGAGGCAGAGGCAGGAGGATCTCTGTGAGTTCGCGGCCAGCCTGGTCTACAGAGTGAGTTCCAGGACAGCCTCCAAAACAATACAGAGAAACCCTGTCTCGAAAAACCAAAAAAAACACATAAAAACAAAAAACAAAAAACAAAAAAACAAAACAAAAAACAAAAACAAACAAACAAAAGTCTTGGGCACTTTAAGAGTGTGCGGTGTTACCCCACACTGGCATGTCCCTAGTCCCCTGCCTTGATCTATGTTTCTCTGCAGAATGAGAGGAATGTTAAGTAGTCCTGTTATCGGAGCCAAATATTTCCCACTTTGATTTCTCTGATAAACCTCCCTAAATGGAGAACTCTCAGAATACCGAAGCATACCTCTGTATGGAATTCCTGAGGAGTAGAAGATCTGGAGGGAATAGTGGGATGGAGTATGTCTGCCAGCCCCACGAGCTGATGGGGGAGCACCTACTCTTTCCTTCTAGGGTTCTGCTTGGAGCCCCACTCTCGATCGCCTACTAAACATGGCCACACTTCAGTATGGAGTGGAGAAAATAATTCATAAAACTCTTCCTCCAAGATCAGGTGATTTGGCCACTTTGTTTTTCCCGTGGGGTCTCTGTGTAAGAGCTTGCAGGTGCTTTTAAATACCAGTCAGACCCTGCTTACCTCACAGCGATGAAAACTCCCTCAGAGCAGATGAATGGATTCCAGGAAGTGTATTACTGAGTTGAAAACAAGAACAATGTTGTTGCAATAGAGGGCATTGTTTTGTGAAAGAGGATCCTCCCCCCCTTAACATTTATGTGTTTATTGTGGGGAGGGAAGGTGCATTTATCACATATATGGAGGTCAATGTACAATCTGCAGGAGTTGCTGACTCTCTTCTTCTACCACGTGGGTCCCAGGGATCCAAGACAGGTTGTCAGACTTAGTGACATGCACTCTGACCCACTGAGCCATGGCAGCCACACACACACACACACACACACACACACACACACACACACACACACACACACACAAAGGATTGTAAGCTCACAAGTAAGACTTGCAAGCTAATATGAAGGTCTGATATATTGAAAGGCAAAGACCACAGCCTGTGATCAGCTCTATTGCTGGTTCAGAATTAACCAAGTCAAGTTAGAACACCATTCCCAGTTGTTCAAACAGGAAGGAAGAGGAAAGAAGAAAGGAAGAATGGTAGAGGGAGGGAGGGAGGGAGGGAGAGAGGAAAGAAAAAAGGAAAGAAGGGGCGGAGAAAGGGAGGAAGGAAAAAAATGAATGAAAAAGCCAGAAGACAAGGATGAAAGAAAAAAGAGATAGAAGGAAGGTAAGAAAAGAAGGCAGAAAACTATAGTTCAAAATCTTTAAGGGAGTACCTGCCAAAAGTATGAAATTCAAATATTTAACCAGTAGGAATTTTTGCATAAGAGTTCATACCACATAGTTTGTTGCATACTTGCTGTACAGGGGTTGTTTTTCTTGCTTTGCAGGTCTGTAATCTCCCTGAAGCACGTAAGCACATACCATAAGATATTTATGTATGTATTCTTTTTGAAGTTGGACCCCAGGGACAGCTCTGTGCTAACCAGCATTTAGTCAACACTATGTCAGAAAAATCTCATTGCAAAGAGGTCATTTTAAATGCTTCAGATACCGTCACCTTTGAGAGACATTGAATGTTCTGCTAATGAGCATATCAAACTTCAGAAACGAATTTTCACTGGTGAGATTCATAGCATGTCAATGAACTCAATCACTCTCCATAAATAGTATTCAAGATCACATACTCGCTAAAGTGCCTTGCTATTGTTGACTCCACCCACTTTGAAAATATCTAAGAAGTCTTGGCCCCCTTTGTGTCTACTGGAATAATTTCTTCAGTGCTAGAAGTAGTGCCCACAAACCTGCCTCTGAAATGTGGTTTCAATTTCTTGGGGACCTAGTCATGCAAAGTGGCTGGTTTAGCAGCTAAAAGAGCAGAGAGCAAGAACTTCCCTAAGCGTGCAAGGCAACTTGTAGAAGCCACATAATTTCTGCTCCTCTGCATTTTGTGGAAGAGTGGATGCAGACTTGGTTTCAGGTTGTGAACAGCTTGCCCACTCTGTTCTCTTTTAGAGTGACATCCATTGCTTATCACCAAGGGTCCAAGAGCAGTGCCCCTGGGCGATGGGTGTGGTCCTTATAGAGACATAGATCCCATTATGACTGTCATTTACTGCTGAGAGCAGGTCCGTTTGCACAGCTTGAGTCACTTGTCCAGGGACACAGAACGAAGGTGGAAACTGCAGTTGTTTGGTCCTAAAACCTTGCTTTTCCACCATGCAAGTTTCCTGTTTGCAGGAAAATTCAAAAATATATGGGCATATAAAATAGACCAATCTTATCATTCAAAGAAACCATAGGAGGCTTTGCCATATTCCTTCCAAACTTATTCACAAGCATATTTAAATGAGACTGTGCAGTTGTGTGGTAGGTCTTGCTGACTTACCATGACATAAATACCTCTTCAGACCCTTCAACATCACTAGCTTGCTTCTAAGGACCCACTAGCCTGGCCTGTGGCTGATCCACTAGCCTGGTCTATGGCTATCCTGAACCACCTGTTCATTGAACATTTAACTTCATTTTGATTCTTGGCTACCATGAATACTGACAATACAGTCGTCTCTGAGAGTAATCTCTTGTTTACTTTTCTTATTTCATCAGGGCAGATTTCTGGAAAGCAAATTACTGGATCAAGGAGCAAGAACAGTTTAATGGACACCAATCAGGAGGCCTAAAATAGACCACTGTATGCTTTGCCTTTATAACAAAGATGAGTGTCGCTTTTCAAGACTGATATTTAAAGTCAACCTAAATTAAAACAATGAGCATTTGAGCAAGAGCAGACAGGCCAGCAGATTTATTGATTCCTCTCCAGTAGGGGGCAGCACAAACACCAAGGGATACCCACGTTTCCTGTTGAAGTTTGCCTCTTTTTTAACATTTTTTATCACGATTGCTTTGTTAAAATTTAGCAACAACATGGTCGTCAAGTTTACAGGCAGGAGCCAGAAAGGAAAACCTAGTTTGCAAAGATTTTTGGCTTTCAGGAATGTTCCGGAAGGCTGTTCCAGATGGCAAAGTGCTGGAGATAAAAGGGTCTTTTCCCTGTGGGCTCACACGGGAGCTAGGAAAACAGGTCGTGATGGGAGCAGCAACCGGAAGAAGGGCTGGTGAGGCCCACGCTGGTATTCTTTGCCCAGTAAGAGTTGGGCTGATGGCTCAGAAATGAATTTATCTTCCCAAACAGGATGAGCAGAGGAAGAGGGAGCACGTGACTGCCAGCCTGAGGAAGACCTTTGGACTGACAGACACAAGGTCGGTGACAGGAGGGAAGTGTTACGGAATCACTGAGAAATGTGCTGTGTCTTATCCTCTGGCAAGAGCCCAGGGAAGGTTGGTAAGGAGGGGCGATGCCTGATTGACATGGTGCCACGGTTGTGGCTTTAGGACATTGGAGCACACCCAAGTTCCCAGAATTCCTATGGGAAAACAGATGCATCACCTTCTGGGGAGGAGCTGTGGCTTTAGGACTCTGACCCACAAGGAGGTCAGAAATAAGTATCTGTGAACTCCTTTCATAACTTTCTGCTTTGTTCCAAGGGGCGTCTTATTCTGCCAGTGGCAGAAAACATGGTCTGGATGTGGTGGTGTGTGCCCCGGGTTGGCATTGGGAGAGTTTGTTAGGAGACAGGAGTGGGTCAGGTAACAGAATGCATTCTCAACAAATCGTCTACACACTAGGGACTTCCAGGAACCACCAGGTCACAGGTGTCACTTGGAGACATACTTTGTTTCCTCAAAGTCTAATTCCTCCTAGCCTTCCAACCAGGGCTGGCTCAAACTGCTGCTTCAGGAAGTTTACAGTAGGCACTACGTGTCTGCAATGAGGCTGTGTTTCTCAAGCCCCTTGGTTAGCACATCCGGCTCCCCTTAGCATCATCCACAGAGGCAGAAGCCTGAAAACAATCTGATGGTCATTGATAGTGAAATTTGAGAATTAGTAATACTTCTTTTATGGTGTGAAATTATAGGTAGATGTCTTTAATAATCATTCCATTAGTATTACATTTATGTATCTCTGTGTGGGGTGTCTGTGTAAAGATTAGAGGATATTATGGCATGTTTTGGGTCAGGGGGGTCATCAGGCTTGGCCACAGGTACCATTTGACACTCAAATATGGCTAGCTTTTTAAGAGAAAAAGAGAGCTAAGCTGGTATGGCGGTACACCCCTATAACTTGCACTTGCATGGCTGAGGCAGGAGGATAGCATTCATGTTGACGTATAGCATTACACCTGGGTTGAATGCACAGCAAAACATCTCTCAAACAAGACAAAAAGAGGGAAGAAGAAGAGAGGGAGGGGAAGGATAGAGAAAGGAAAAGAAAAGAGAAAGTTAGACCCGTCCTCAATGGCTTAAAGGTTGTCTGTGATATTATCTGATATCTCTCAACTATTTCATGATAGTTGAGAGAATAGGGCATGGGTCAGGAAGAAACAAGCACTTTCTGCAAATGACTGAATCATAACTGTTTTAGATTTGTGTGACCCACGGCCTCTGTCATAATGATTCATCTTTTTGCATCTGGTAGAAAGATAGATATTGCCATTATATAGGAGAATAGACGTGGCTGTGTTCCAATAAAGCTTTATTGGTAAAAGCAGTCAGTGGGTCAGATTTAGCCTGCAGGCTATGGCTTGTTTGCACTTGGCACAGCTTTGAGAAGACCTGTGTGTACTGTCCATGTTTTTAGGGAAGGCTTCCAGTTGTTCATACTAATTACTTTGTGGAAAATAAAAATGGGAGAGTGGGTCTTCTCTACCCTGGGAGCAGCTTTCCTGCCTTGGCCCCTCACTCCTGAAAATGTATGCCTGCTCCAAGTTCATCTCCACCCACTCCTTGATCGGGAGCGCCTCTCAGCTGCTGAGTCGTCCCCTGTCTGCAGTGAATCGACCACAGACGTGGACAGATGAGGGCCCAGCAGTTTGGCAGTCCCTCATCCTCTGACCTCACTCATCCCCAGCCGCAGTTTCCAAACCAGCATCATTTCCAGAGACATCGATGGACACAGCCGCCAAATTCATTGATGCTAGGGCTGCTAGAGTTGGGGTGGCTGGCTCTGGGGCTGGGGTTGGGACTGTTTTGGGAACCTCATCATTGGTTATGCCATGAACCCTTCTCTGAAGCAACGCGAGTCTGGGCTTTGCCCTCTCAGAGGCCATGGATTCCTTTGCCTGATGGCCTTTCTCATCCTCTTTGCCATGTGGAGCAGCTGTCTCCATTCCCACCTCCACAGTTTTTTCGTGTCTGTCTGCCCTGTGTGTTCCTTTTCCTGTACCTGCCCAGGAAGTCTGGGGAAAGAGCTTGGCTCAGGGTTTGACAGAGAGAAGACAAATAAATACTATATTAATAAGGAAAAAAATGGGAGAGTGTTTTAGTTAAGGTTCTATTGCTAGGAAGAGACACCATGACCATGGCAACTCTTATAAAGAAAATATTTAATTGGGGTGGCTTTCAATTCAGTGGTTAAGTCCATTATCATAATGGTGGGACATGGCAGTGTACAGGCAGACATGGTGCTAGAGAGGTGTTAAGAGAAGCTTTTTCCTTGCTAGCCGCTTTGGCTTATCACCCGCCAGTCGCCTGGGCTCTGCCACACTGTAGTCCCCAAATAACACACAAGACGCTGTATTAATTATGAAACTGTTGGCCTTGCTCGTTTCTTACTGGCTAGCTCTGACTTAAGTAATTACCCCATAATTGTTAATCTAAGTATGTCTCTTACTGGAGAAATTTCCGGGCCTCCTACCCCATGGCGTTACATCTCGAACTCTCTTGTGTTTCTCCTTCCCAGAGTCCTCCTGGACTCCTAGTCCCACCTATCTAGATTCCTATTGGCTCAACAGTGCTTTATTGACATAAGACTTCACCAACAGAGAGGTAGCTGAGAGTCCTACATCTTGCAGGTAATAGGAAGTGGTCTGAGTATCACACTGAGTAAAACTTGAGCACATAACAGACCTCAAAGTCTGCCTCCACAGTGACACACTTCCTCCAACAGGGGCATAACTACTCCAATAAAGCCACACCTCCTAATAGTGCCATTCCTTTTGGGGTCCATTTTCTTTCAAACTATCATAGGGAGTGATGGGATGATTATTGTCTCCTTTCCCATTCCTGTTCTCTTTGATATGAAATGGAACATATATATTGCTTTTGTAATCTCTTCTTTGAATCCCTAAAATTATGTGATTGGACATTTAGGGTTCTCAGCTATAGAGAAATTCCTTTGCCAGTGGAGTGGGAAAGTGTTGAAAGGATTTGGGGTGGGTTATTAACTGCAAACACTGCTAAAATCTTGAGCCAGTTTTAGGGGATAATAATTGTACCCCCATAGGCTCTGGTATTTGAAAAAGTCCTCAATTGGTGGCATTGTTTTGGGAGGTTTCAGTTGAAAGAAGTATGCTCTGGGGACTGGCTTTGTAAGTTTGTAACCTTGCCCTACTTCCAATCTGATCTCTCTGCTTTGAGCTTCTGGTTGAAGATGTGAACTCTCAGCTTCCTGCTCCGGCTACCATATCTGTAGCTCGATGCCATGCTTCCCTTCTCCCCCCACCCCCATGATTGACACATCCTGCTAGAACTGTAAGCCAAAATAAAGTCTTTCTTCTGTAAGTTGCTTTTGGTTGTGCCTTTTTATCACACAACAATACAGTAACAACAGCATGAATGACTTGGATAAATAGTGAGGGACATCCCATTGGATAAATAGTGAGGGACATCCCATTGGATAAATAGTGAGGGACATCCCATTGGTTTGTTGCCTCTTATCAAGTCACATCCAGGGCTCTCTTTTGTTTGAGGTTCCTGGGCTGTGAGACAGACTTGGATAAACTAGATAATTTCTCAAGACAGAGACTGTGAAGGTGAAGGGAAATCCTGACAAGAGACTCGCTCAGCCTGCAGAGGTGAGGACAGCTGCTCTTCTGATCCACCCTCCAATTACTATGGAATAGAAAGGAGGTACATCCCAGCTCTGGGCTACATCTCAAGATTTGTCATCCATCAGTCTTACTAAGCAGCCACCAAGCAATGACAGAGAGGATAGGTTACACTTTATAGAAGAAGCTGTTCTCTGCAGGACTAAGGAGTTGAGGAGAAAAAAAATATCCTGCTGCATCTCAGAGTCTGTATTTCAAAGTCACAGACCTGAATTTGAAAACTTGGAGAAAGTTATTTATGAATCCCTCCATCCCTTCCTCTCTCCTCTCATGATACTATGATGGTGATGGTGATGATGATAATATTGGCGAGAGATGTAGCTCAATGGCAGAGGTCCTACTTAGCATCCTGGAGGAGCTAGGTTGGATCCTAAGCACAACAACAAAAATAGCAAGCATGAGCATCTCTTCTTCATACTGTCATGAGACTCAGATGAGTTGATCCATGTCCAGCTCCTCTGATGGTATGCCCCAATAAATAAATAAGTGCCTTTTCAATGTTGGCATTTGCTGGTGTGGCTCTTAATGTGGTTATTACCGTCACATTCCCTTTGTCGTTTCCTCTTCACCTGTGTTGGGCAGGTCTCTCTCTTTTAGCCTCACAGCACTTTGCCTTGTAGGCTTGGATGCAACCAAGCAGCTTACTTGATGGCATGGCTGTCTCTGGGCTCAGCTCTTCACTAGTGCCCTGCTTCTGATGGTGCAAGGGATGCATGGTGGTCTCTAGGATGTACTCATACAGTAACTAGCAGACTACCAATTGTGGGCAACGTAAAACGCAAAGCCTGGAGTTTTCTGTCTCACCTGTCTGCAGGTCTAAACCTCCCCTCTCCTCCAGCCAACTCAGATCCCACCTCTTCTGTCCACCTGGATGTCTTCTCTTGGAACTTCCAGACACTTCTATTTGCTTTGTCTATTGACTGATGTAAGGCATTGCTTTGCACCCTAAATGGTTGTATATGGTGTATATGTATATGCAGCCCCAGTTGCAAATAATGTCTTAGGGAATTAGACTTTTGTCTTGTACATTTTCATGTACTTAACCAATTAAAAGCTAGTAGTGAGTGCTAAATTCAAGGTCAGGTTGTCGATATGGTGCTAGATATCTTCACATAGAAAGGACATTTAAATCAAGAAGTGATGTACATTTTAAATTACAGTACAAGGAAGGTAGAGACAGGAGAATTGAGAGCTCAAGCTACACACTAAGACAACGTCAAAAACAATAATGTTATTAAGTAGAATCTGTGTCCCGCTGTGTGGTGAGCAGGGTTCAGGAAAGTGCTAACACGGTTCAGGTGGACCCAGGTATTT